CCTATGGGAGTATTGGATTTATTGTTGTTGTGTGTGCTATTGATAACCATAACTGGTCTTTCGGGGTAGGTTATTGACGGTTAATTGCAGGAAGGTTCTATGGTATGACTTGGGTTGTGTAGGAGAAATGCATATAGACATATTGAATTTTTTATCACTGCATACTATACCTACAACTTGATTTTTATCGTATTGAGTTATGTGAACTCACTTCTTATCATTAACAGATGAAGTAGGGATGGAGCCAAGATCTAAGTTGCTGGTTACGGAGCCTAGTCTTTAGCGCCATAGAGCAATGATTTTCTTTGTGGCGGGTTGTAGTCTGTAAAATTTTATCTTAGTATGGATACTGATTGCTGGAGATGTATGATATGGTTTTGTCATGTGATGTATATGTAGAATTGCAAGTTTGCATTGGGTTTGAACAATAAACTGTGGACAAGTTTCTTTTATGTGTGATTAAATTGGCATGGGATTGTTTTATCTTATGTCGTTGAAAGAAAAAAAAGCGGGGCGTTACATCCCAGCCTACTAAAAATATTTTTTCAAAAATTCATTTAAAGTAATGGCATGTAAATTAAGTATTTGTCATTTATTAAAATCAGTACATATATTTCAACAAACAGTATAATTAATTATGAAAAATATGTATATTTTTGTTATATAAACTAGTTCATTGGCTTAACTTAAATATAGATTCTTATGTAAAAATTTTGTTGCGTATCAAACAAGCATCTAATCATGATAAGTTAATATAAGAATTCATTATACTGAGTCATATCATGATTGGCTTAAGCATGAAATATCATATTTCCTAATTAGATTAGTCTTGTGTAGGACTTGAATTGTATATAATCATGTTAATAGCATTTAAAAAGCTTTTTATTCGTAAAAAAAACAAGATAAGATAATATATCATGTAGATCTTGAAAAATATTAATAAATTTTGAAAATTAATTAATCGTCAACTAAAATATTTAATTAAGTTAATTAAACTAATTTACTTAATATAGATCATACGAAAGATCAATTAAGTAATTAAAGAATTTAATTAAATTTATTAAGATTAAAGCTTAATGACTATAATTTATTAAGTATTGGTCAATAGGTGAGTAGACCGTAATTTAAATAATCTGTATGGATTAGATGATAAGATTATATAAAAATTTTAATTAAAGAAAGTCTTTAATTGTAAAAGATTGAACTGTTAAGATACAACATGTCTATTATAAAAAAAAAAAATTAGTGTACAAATTATTTGACAAATCAAACTTTTGACCAACCCCCTAACCTACACCACATACAGCACTCTTACGAAATTATTGAGTATCATTGAAATAATCTCATCCGAATCTCCTAATTTAAAATGTATAATATTTATATGTATTTTTTTTTCTACTTTTTTGGTGTTTTTCTCTCATGTTGTATTAAAAAAAAAAACAAAGTCTTCAATAAAAAAATTGTAACACCCATTATTATTATTATTATTATTATTAATTTTTAATTTATTTTATTTAGTTTATTTTGTAATTATTGAAATTTTAATTGATTTTTTTATTTAATTTAATTTAACGAAAATAAAGATAATAATAATGATAAAATTGGGTAAAAATATTATTTGGATTTAATTGAAATTGATTTTGAAAAAAAGTGGTGAAAATTTGGATTCTGTTGGTATTTTTGAAAAGAAAATCGGAAACCGGTGGTCAAAACGTAATTTAGAAAAGTTGTGCCACATCAGCACCACGTCAGCAGCCACATCAGCGGCCCGGTCAGCAGCCCCGGCCAACCAGGACGCGCCGCATGGCAAGGACACGCTGACCAGGGGACGGACCACGGGGGCGATCCGCATGCGCGCGATCGGACGGCCCAGATCCGTTCCCGCGCACACGGACGGCCCAGATTCACGCGCACGGATGGTCCAGATTCACTCGCACGGACGACCCAGATTCAATCAGGCATGGACGGCCCAGATTGCATCACGATGAACGGCCCAAATTTAATCCCAATTAAATCGTGATCGAACGGTCCAGATTCAATCTTGATGGACGGTCAAGATTAAAAGGCGAATGGTATAAATACCCCCACCCACACCTGACCAAAGAAACCCTAGCCGCCAATGCTCGCCGGAGGAGCCGGCCGCCGCCGCCCGCCGCCGCACCGGGGAAGTTTCCGACCGCCGATCGAGATAATTTTTCTCCCCCTTGCTCGTTTTTCGACGCTGAGTCCGCCTATGGCCAAACCACTGGCCAAACGGCCGGAAAACTCAGCCGAAACCCAGTGGCGGCGCCGCGCCCCTCCTCGATTTTTGCCTCCGATGAGGCCCTTCCCGGCCTCCCTTTGATGCAAATTTTATACCACTGTGATCACTATTCTTTTCTCTACAGGTTGATCGGAGCCAAACATCAAAACGCGACTCACGCCGGAGGAGCCGCCGCACCCGAGAGCACCGCTGCTGGTAAGTTTCGATTTTTCGTAATTTTTCAGCCCACCGAGGGCCCTAGGGTTGTTCTATCGCAGGGACCAATGCAAGCGTGGTCGAATTCGACCGAAAACGGCTGAAAACGGCCAACCCGAGGCGAATCGCCATCGCCGGAGCACGGCGGAGCCGCCGTTCTGGAATTACGATATTGGCCGAAAGGGGGTCTAGGTCTAATTTGGGATTTTTTTTGGGACACGTGCAAGTACTAGTAGTGCGTTTCAGCTCTCCGGAAAAAATTCAGGGAAAATTAGGGACAGCCTGCAGGCGCACTGTAAAGCAGTATTCAGACCCCGAAACAAGTAAGGACCTCTCACCCTATTTCCTATCACGGTATTAAAGTTTAATAAATGATAAAACGGTATTTCATGAATCAATAGATGTGTAAAATTGTTTAAGGTCGCTAATGGAGCCCGAGTCTGGTGTATTTGTCGGTCAGTTGTTGTTTGTTCTATTTTACAGTTTCAAATGCAGTATGATGTCTGATGTTCTCATTTCATAGTTTCGTGTGCATATATCACTGTTTTATTGATTGTGGGTTGAATGATTGAGAACCCAATATTGTGTGTTGTCTTGTTTGGCATAAACTACTGGTTTGCATGTTTGTGTGTGATTTGATGATGGTGACTGAGGAAAAAAAAATAAAAGGTTACGTGAATTGATAAATGGATAATGTGGACAGCCTGACTAGATATCCTGGAAAATGGTGGACAGACTGGGTCTATAGAGAACCCTACCGGGAACGTGGTCTCTCATACCGGACGGGGTATGGAGACCTTCGGTATTTTGGCGCCCATACCGAACGGGGTATGGGGACGGCCCGTTTCACCCTCATACCGGACGGGGTATTGATGTTCATGGTTTTGGTGCCCATACCGGACGGGGTATGGGGACCGCTCTGGAATCAGGTTATAAATGTTAAGGGTTCACGGGTAGCGGGACCCCTATGGATCTCCATGGATACTAGTAGGGTGGTAAATGAGGAAAATATGTTGTGTAATGATTGAAATGCAAAGGCGTGGTAAGTATTATGTTATACAGTTCATATGATTTCATGATGATGAAAATGTTATTGCTTTCATATGTTGTTTTATAAATCTCACCGAGGTAAGTGGACAGTAAAAGATTTTATTATTGATAAAAGAATTTGTTATAAATTATACTCCATTGGTCTTTTTGTGTTTTCTACTCACCTTTACCTCCGTGGCGGTGAGATAGTATGATGTCTTTACTGGGCTGGTGTAGCTCATTCCTTATTTAACCATTTCAGATCAGGAAGACATTGTTCCCGAGCCCGTTCCGCAGGAAAACGGCGAAGGGGACGCCTAAAGACTCCGTAGTTATATTTATAGTTTTTATTTTCGAGTTTCTCTTTTAGTTAGTTTGTTTTTTTATACTTTGAGCACGTTTTTTGTTTTAGTGTAAGGGATGTTAATCAAAATTTTTATTATACTTCCGCATTTGACATTTTTAATACACATATTTCATTCTAAATTCCCGGGGCCGTTACAAAAATCATGCTGGATCTTAATTAATCTAAACCACGTTGGATTATTAAGAATAAACCTTAAACGGATGAATTTTTTTTCAGTTCTTAAAAGCTATGTTTTTTTTTTCTTTATTATTATTTTTAAATTAATATGTATATATTTATTAATAAAATAATACAAAAATTATATATTTATAGAATTATGAGAATACGAATAAAATATTTTTTAAATATAAAAACAATAAAGCTTCTTTACACGAAATAAACGTGCGGGTCGGGTCGGGTCGGGTCGGGTCTCTGATTGTCCATAGGGACCGATTTGACAACAACCTCTAATGCATAATCAGACCTGAACCCTCAAATTCATTTCTCTTCTCCAACGACCAACTACCAATAATTCTCTCTCTCTCTCTATGCCTCCATAGCTTTCTTTCCGGCTCTATCTGACGTCTCCTAAAATGGCTACTGAGTTGCTTGGTTTCTCTTTCCGTCCTCATACGAGCCTGCGCTTCACCCACAGTACGAATGCCAAAGCTGACTTTGTGAAGCGACACCGTCACATCCTTCTTCCGAGACGGCGGAGTCGCCCTCTCCTTCGCCCGTGCTCAATTCCGATCATGACAAACTCCCTCGAGACTACCACTCATCCGCAAAACTCACCCTTCCAGGCAGCAAAACCGCCGGCAAGCCAATCACTCATTCTTCTCGACGTGACGGGGATGATGTGCGGTGGTTGCGTGGCCCGAGTTAAGTCGCTCCTCTCCGCTGACGATCGAGTTGACTCGGCCGTCGTCAACATGTTAACTGAGACCGCCGCGATAAAACTGAAACCAGACTTCGCAGGAAGCAATATGGCGGATACTATTGCTGAGACTTTGGCGAAGAGATTGACAGATTGCGGGTTTGAGTCGAATAGGAGGATCTCTGGGCTTGGAGTCGCGGAGAATGTGGAGAAATGGAAGGCGATTGTGAAGAAGAAAGACGAGTTACTTCTTAAGAGCAGGAACCGAGTGGCTTTTGCTTGGACTTTGGTGGCGTTGTGTTGTGGTTCTCACGCTTCGCACATTCTGCATTCCTTGGGGCTTCATTTCGCTCATGGTAATTTCCCTTTCTGTCAAACTTAGCGGAATAAAATGAAATTAATGATGCGCTGGTTTCTACCACCATTCCCATATTGCGATTACTGAAGTTAAATTAAAGCTTTCGTCGCTTTTTTTTATTGCTACGAGAATCGCTAGTTTGATGGAGTGTAGGAAGTACTCAAATTAGTTACATTTTAACTTGATTTTTTGGCCTCTGATGTAGTACACTTTTTGGAGGTGCTTCATAATTCTTATGTGAAGGGTGGATTGGCTTTAGGAGCTTTACTGGGACCGGGAAGAGGTCAGTTGGCCTTCGCATTTTTCTGATCCTTTGATTGTTAATGCAACTTAAGAAAGAAGTAGTATGAAAGTATTTAGATTCTTTCAATGAGCTCCAGCAGCTCAGCTCCCGATGAAACTTTCTAATTGTTCTTAAAAGTTAGCTCGACCTCTGTGCTTCAGTTGTTTGTGCAAAGGTTTGCTAACAATTTCTTACTATAAAATATAATGACTAAATTTTGAAACCTATTCAACATATTTTCATTTGATAGAAATAAAATATACTGCAGACTTGCTATTTGATGGTTTTAAAGCATTTGGGAAAGGATCGCCTAACATGAATTCACTTGTGGGATTTGGATCTGTTGCTGCATTTATCATTAGTGCGGTGAGAACTTTGTTCTGAATGCTAGTATTTACTTTTACCTGCATCATAGAAAAGCAACATTGTTGGAAATTGTCATTTTCTTGAACTTTTTGCTTTTGTAGGTATCACTTTTTAACCCAGAGCTCTCGTGGGACGCATCATTCTTTGATGAACCGGTGACTTGCTTCACTTTAAGCCTATTTCTTGTTCAAGTTCTATGCGCTTCTTCTTACATGATCATAAACTAAGATATTAGTTTTGAAAACAAAAAGTAGCAAATCCTTCTGGTCATCTTTGCATAGTAAATAATAGTCAACCATGTTACTGCTTATCAGCAGTCAGGAGCTCTTTATTCTCACAGCTTGTTCAAAAATTTGGATATTTTGGAATACTGATAAATGCCTTACAAGATGGTCTTGTTTCTAGTACGCAGGTCATGCTTCTTGGTTTCGTGCTGCTTGGTCGTTCTTTAGAAGAAAGGGCAAGGATCAAGGCATCTAGCGACATGAATGAACTTTTGGTGAGTTAGAAAGAGCCTTATTCTATAGTTTGAAGGACAAATATGCTCCTTACTTCTGTTTTGCATTAAATTAGTATTTCTCATGGCTTCTAGTTTTTTGCTCTACTTAGTGAACTTCTGCCCGTATTGGTTCCAAGTTAATCAAAGTGCATAAGGTTTCGTTGCAACTTCTTGTATTGCCTTAATATGGACTAGGTCTATCTCTGAAGCAGCAAGATGAGTGATCTATGTAAACTTTTTATAAACTAGAAGACTGGCTGACTCCTTTTTCTTCTTTTTGTCTTCTCTATTTTCCATGTGATTTTTATGACTTCTGATATCCCTTTTTCACCATGATCTTGGTGTTTTTGCAGTCACTGGTTTCCACTCAGTCAAGACTTGTGATTACTTCATCAGAAGCTGATCCTCCGTCTGATACTGTGCTTTCCTCTGATGCAATTTGCATTGAGGTCCCAACTGATGATATTCGAGTTGGAGACTCTGTATTAGTTCTGCCAGGAGAAACAATTCCTGTAGATGTAAGTGTTGGTGGTTTATGATGTTTAGCAGAGACTAAAGTTTAGAAATCTCTGTAAATGTTTATTCTTTTCAGCAACAACTTCCTAAATGACACAAACTTAAGTTGGATTAGACATTCTTTTGTTGTCACATTCATGCATAGTGTAAGA